TTTTTATACAAAAAGTTAGGAATTTAAAATATAACAGCGGTAACAGCGACATCAACAAAAACAATTAAAAACTTTACTCAAATTTGTCTTGTCCCAAGCATTTTATGTGTTAACCTCCTTTATCTCAGCTGAAATCATGAGCAAATATCTGAGCGCGGAATTGAGACATATAAAATTATTCTAAATTCCTGTTATCAGATAGGCAAAAATCCGCAAATGAAGGCAGTATTAATTTTCCTCCATTTTCCCTGGGCTGGTTAAGTTACGCGGAACCTATAGTTTTTCTTTTTTTTTTTTTTCTTTTTTTATTTTTACAAGACAGCACACCAAAAGTAGAGTTATAAGGAAAAAAGGATCTAGCAACCGTTTCCTCATAGACTCCTGTCCTTAAAAAGACCGTAAAAAATGAAATAAAGGCAATGCATAATTCAAGGCACGAATAAAATTATTGAATGTCTTACCACTACGAGCCAGCTGCTTAATGTTCCTACATGATTTTAAAAACCTAAATGCTGTAATGTTTCCGTGATGGCTAAAGGGTTACAAGGATTCTGTTATCGATTATAAAACGACAATGTAATGCCACTTTCTGAGTGGCCTTGAGTTGTTTTTCTTCATCGGAAGCAGTATTGCTATGGTTGTCAGCGTTTAACTTCCCGAACTGATTATTTCATGAATGCTTAAGTAAAAACCAGGCAAATCATAATTTACCCTTCGTTAAGTGTAAGATGAAAAGTTCAGGATGAAGACTATAACACACACGATGCTTCGCAAAGGAAATCTTACAAGTTTCACCACAATATTCTGTATTTCTAGTCTTGCATTTCCTTGATTGTTAATTCCATATTATACATATGCGCGTACTTACTTCGTTTCAAGGCGCCAATGAAACACATTTAACGAAAGATGAGTCGTAATCGATAGAAAATAAGTCCACAGGAGCTTTACTCGAACAGTTTGGTCTCTACGTAATTGCAAAAAATAGCACGATTTAATTTATCGCCTGCCTAAATAAAGTATTCTCTACGTCGTTGAAAACGCGAATGAGACCAGTCGACAGTTAAAAGACAACTATCTGATAACAAGTCGAATGGTAAACAGGGCCTTAAGAGCGACGCTGAATAAGTTCCCTGAAAAATGCAAGCCTCTTTAACTTAGGCAAAACCCCATCTCTTGAAGCTTTTTTTGAAACAATTTAACTCTTCTTTACTGGAACTTTTTCTTGAATTTATGTTCAGTTCTTCGCCTCAGATACAAAACAAATAGGTAACGACTGTTGAAAAAAGTTGGTCCATGCATAAGTTCTAAAGATTGTTTGACAGTTTTCAAATTAAACCATCCGTGCATTAAGACTATCTAAACAATAGAGACTTAATGACTAGAAATGTGAATCACACAATTTTTCCGACGTTTTATTTCTATAATAATAATGAAGTTCGAAATTACTGAGCTGTTTTTCAGTGGCACCTAATGAGAACTTAAACAATTTCAAGTGTAACTTGAATTCAAAATTCGAGCAACTTCCGCCGAAGAATTAGACAAGCTGGAAAAATATAGGAGATAATTTATTAATGAAGTAATTTGGTGTCTTATAGAAAGACATAAACAGCTTCTGGTATCTGTCTTGTCTGTCATCTTGAACAAAACATTTACTATGTTAAATAATGGGGGAAAATGTATTGTTTATTCTGGTAAAAGTGCGCCTAAAATATGTTTTAAAACTCCTACGGAGTGCGTGAAGCCGGCTAAATGTTTCATCGTGCACAAATTGTCGGGATGATTTTATCATAAGGACGGAAAACGTTGTGCTTTTTGTCTAACTTGTGGTGACAAAGCCGTAGGAAGAAAAATGAACGATTTTACAAGAATAGCAACTTTTCAAATAATTACGAGCCATTATTACGTGTTGATTTAACGTTGCGTGAGACAAGACAGACGACAATTCAATAAACTATGAGTAATATGAAAAGGACGTAAGCAAATTTCAAGATTGTGTGTATGGCGAAAAAAAATAGTCATATTTGCAGCGCCATAAATTTATTTGAACTACAATGTCGACGACTCATTAAAAACTGTCATGTTAAAAATATTTATCGACAAATTTTAAGTATTTGGCATATCAGCGTAAATTTACATCGCATTTTGTTTAATCTGTTTGTCCTCATTGTCAACTTAAATTTGTACTGTAGCTCTGAAGCCCTTGAGGTTTGAGCAGATAGTTTGTATTGCGTTTTCTTGACGTCCGTGAATTATGGTCATCGTGGCTTTCGCGCAAGGTGGAGCTGTATAAATATTCATAGTAAATTCCGACACGAATCGTCAGTATTTGCTCAAAGACTTCCTCGAGGCCAGAGCAAGTTTTCAAACTAAAATTACGTGACAGGTGGATGAAAGTCCTTTTTAAATTAGAGAACTAACTTTCAAAACCACAAACAAGTGCAACATTTCCTAAAGCAAAAAGGAAAAAACTCAATTGAAATCCTATCGTGATAATTTAACGTTGAGGCGCTTTGAAAATACTAGACAAAATTAAAAACAGGTAATTAAGTGTTAACAACTGAGTTGAAAATGTAAATTGGCCACCGTAAAGAGTAAAAAAGCTGACGTTTCGAGTGTTAGCTCTTCTTCGCCACATCTTCTTAAAGCGATGAAAAAAATCACACCTTCGTTGGATGCCACGCCCAAGGTAAAAGACAAAAGGAACAAATAAAAAGTGATAACAAACGCGCTCTGCCAAAATCTCGAAAAACTTGCTTTTAGCAGTATTTCATTCTAAAAACATTTCTAGAATTCAGTTTTGACGGTTTTTAGAAAAGTCTTGTGCGAGCAAGATCTGCTTTTCCTTTTTTAAAAGTAGAACGGTCACTCCAACTTCAAGCAGTCTGAAAGTACTTAAATGAAGGAATCCTCTTCTTAGGTATAAAGGGGTTAGTTTCTAAAGAAACTGTGGTGCTGTGTCGGTGGGAGAGTATAGCAGGTAATTTAGTGTTAACAACTGGGTTGAAAACGCAAATTAGCCACCGTAAAGGGTAAAAAAGCTGACGTTTCGAGCGTTAGCCCTTCGTCAGAGCGTGACGAAGGGCTAACGCTCGAAACGTCAGCTTTTTTACCCTTTACGGTGGCTAATTTGCGTTTTCAACCCAGTTGTTAACACTAAATTACCTGCTCTTCTTAGGTAGACTTGTTGGTTCCAGAAAGTCAGCACCTCACTAGAAAACAGCTGTGCGCCAGCGCCTGCCCTCTACGAAAATTTGGAGAAGCTGTTGACAGCTCCTTACTTTTAACAAAGATTGTTAAAATCCGCTCTAAAACTCTAGTAGTTTTCAATGAGAAAGACTTACTTTTAAGCAGGACCTGCTTTTTTTGTAAATGATAAATAAAAAAACTCGCACTTTCTTCATTGTGAGACTTGTGAGAGAAAAAGTATCACACCCTCATCTTGCCACGCGTTTGATTGAAAACGAAAATAACTCAAATACATGCTCTCGCAAAAACTAGAAATCATTGCTTTGATCAGTATATCTTGTATCATCAACATAGTTACACGAATTCGGCGCTTTTGCAAAGAAGGATCCTCGTGTTAGGTAAACATGCTGGTTCTAAAAATGATGAATGCCTCGTTTGAAAACAGCTGTGCGCCAGAAACAAGGTCTTCAATCGCCTCGAGGCTCTCCATAGAAAACCGTCACTTTCGATTGTATTCAACATCAGTAGTAAGATCAAAAAATACATTTGTACGTTGAAAAAACTGACTGGTAAAAAACCAGGCGACTTGACTTACATATAGAGAGAGGTGGTTTAAATGAGTCACCGCAATACGGATAAATTTAATTATTTCTGAATTTGCGAACCTTTGGCTCGATGCGCTAAACGAGGGTCAAGTCTACCCCTGGGTACACCGATGGAGATTGATTTTACTAGTTCATATTTACACTACCCACTCCCCTGGTACAGCAAAATTGTCACTCCGATAATTTTCTCGATCAGTTACGAGCTTTTCCGCCTTCCTTCGGCCAAAATCCCTCGGGACTACCAATTACTCAGGACTTTTGTTTGGAAAAGTTGACCCGGAACAATGGGCCATTTCTTGATACGTTCACAGACTTTCAAAACGCCTTAACACGAATGTTATTTGCATCAATTTTTTTCATTGGGTCCGTACTGCCAGCTGTTAACTTTGTTAACATCCCATTTTCAAAACAAACAGGTCGATTCATATATATTAATCCATTACTGAATGCAGATAGTCGACCCGAAATTCATGGCACACTGAAAGAATCAATATTGAGATCTGTTGTCTTCTAGAAGAATGGAATTTTCTACACTTTTTACAGTCGTAGTCTTGAATGCACTGATGGCTTGGTGGACGTTTGGTAAAGGTTAGTTGCAAACTGCGAATCATACTCTATCCCTAGATTCAAATTTCATTGGTGAGATTTTATTTTGCATCACTCTTTACTTCTAGAACCAAAGAACCAAGGGGAGATTGAAGGCTCCCTTTTTGAGGGAGTTTATTAATCCCCCCTAAATCATCAGTTTCATGGCAGTAATGATAATGACATCAAAAAATTGCAAATAAACAACTAACTCTATTTGTAATAAGAATTTCGCTGAGTGCATGATGTGCTCCCCCTCTCTAACGATATAACAGTCTCAGCTAAAATTGTGAGGCTTCTTTAAATACCAAATTGAAACGTGAAAAATTTTCCCTCAAGGTTCCATATCTCAGAAACATTAAAGATTCCATAATTTTGGTAATCTCATTTTATTGTTTTGTAGAAAACGGCGAAGTAATTCACAAAGTTGTAAAACGCAATTTACGATTCTCCATTCTTCCTCTAAAAGTTATTCTTAGTCGGTGTTGATGTATCTGCCGCCGTGGTTTCCTGAGATCCCAAAATTTTGCTAAGACCTTTTAACTCGAGTTTCATTTTTTTGCGCCGGAAAAGTATGGCTTATTTTTATATTTCAATTTATTTATTTCAGAGCGAGAGCGCGTAATGCTGTTTCCAGATCACTACTTCTTTACTGAAAGACGTTTGGTAAACCATACTATCGAAACAAGAAAAGTCAAGAACTTGGATGACTGTGAGCTTTTGTGCTACCTGAACGACAGTTGTGTCAGTCTTAACTTCAAAAAAGATCCAGGGAATAATCCAGAGAACGACAAATCAGGTCACATCTGTGAACTAAACAACGCCACACATCTGAAATATGACAATGACTTTACAACGAATATTCTTTTTTACTATCGTGGTTCGAAGGTGAGTTATAACTAGAATTTACGAATTTGTCGTCTTAGGATAACATATTCACAATAACTGACGTTTTGCAAAATTTTCGCTCTTTCTATCCCGAAGGTAATTTGTTCGTTCATTTAATCCGTCGATCTTTCTTTGGTTATTTCAATTTTGTCCCTTTCAGAACGCTTGCGATAAGTACTCTCAGTGCAGGAATCACGCAACTTGTCAGTCTGGTTTCACCCTCAAGGGATATCGATGCTTGTGTCCTTCTGGATTCCAAGGAGAGCATTGTGAAAATGGTAATTCTGTTTCTCTATTTTTATGATACCATGGAAAGCTCTGATTTAACATTTGTACCATAGCTGGGAAAGTACCCAGCTAAAATTATTTATAGATAAGTTTTTTACTGAGATAACTTGCTTCACCCTTTAGGAAAATCTCACATTCCAACAACGGGTTTACGACATCCAAAGAATGTAATCTTTCACCTAGTAATGGCTTGTGCCCGTCAAATATTTTCGCAATTATCATTTCTTTTCGTCGTCGTCAGGGTCAGGTAGTTCGTTCCTTTGGTTCCTTACATTTTACCGAAAATTGATAATAAAAGGTTAGTCTTGTGACCATTTGGTAGCAGAGGGAGGTTTTCACATGGTTTTGTCGGCAAGTGAAGTCATGGAGAACGGCAGCGAAGAGGCAACTAGGGACGACTTCGAAACCGAACAAGATTACAGGACTTAAAACACGAAAAAATTCACTATCGTTTCCAGTCGTTCAAGAGATTGCTGTGATTGCTCAAAAGCATCGCGTGACCGAATACCGGGGAATATCCCGTGATATACCCTAAGTAATATTCCCCAATTTCACACATTACGTTTATTAAGATAAGTCTTTGTTAAAAATCTAATTCAAGATGAGAGTATTTTGCAATTGTTACAGAAGACGGGAGGTATTTGTTTTTTTCCTTAAAGATGGATCTCTAAAGTCCTGTTCCTTAATTATAAATGTATAATTTTGAGACTTTTTGGTTGTTTTTGCCTTCGCATTGTCTTCACGCTTGAACCAGCATTAAGACAAAGTTTGGCCTCTAATCTCAGAGCTATTTCATAGCTTAATAACTTCGTAAATGTAACAAGAAAAAGAAAAGGGAAGAAAAAGTGTAAGGCATGCATGTTTCTAAACAACATGTGACCACTCGATGTTGCAAATTGAAATAACTGCCGAGGAAATATGGCATATATAGTATTGTTCGTTAGACAAAATCTTTAACCATAGATTCTAACGACTTCAATCCTGTTACAATTATCATTTCATTTTGTAGCCAATCCTTGCGATAACTACCAAATTCTAAATGAAAGCGATAGGAAGAACAGTTACTCAACACCGACCTACGGTCCAGTGTATTGTGACGATTACCTTCCTACAGAGAGTGACCCTGAGGAATGGTATCGTTTCATGGGAGATGCTGGAACAAAAATGCCATCAAAGCGTGTGGATGCATACCACTGTGGTACAGACTGGTCAGGCTGGTTGGTTGGTGCTCATCCCACACTTAAGGATGGTGAAGTTCAACGGACAGTCTGCTTCAGTGATCGTTCCACTGGTTGCAAACACACAATAAAGATTTCTGTCAAAAACTGTGGAACCTACTCTATCTACAAACTTTTCAAGCCACCTAATTGTAACTCGCGTTACTGCGGTGGTACAGACTGAGCGCGAAACAAATACCCTAACGAATTAGGACGATTTAGAGCAATCTATTGGTTCATGTAGAATGCTTTTTTGTTTTTTTTTGTGTTTTTTTTTAAACAATTTTATTTACAAGACGATCACTTACACTACTTACAGCATTAATTACACTCACATTGTACTTTCTACTAACACTACTGATACTTATACTTACACAAATTATGCATACACTACATTACGATACATGTATTACAATACTATTAACGTTAATTTAAATTTACGGTTGGCAAAGTTCTTTTCAATTAGAAGACAATCACAAGTAAACATACAGGTCTCAAAAATGAAGTTAAGTATAAGTCTAATCTAAAAACATGTAGAATGCTTGTTGTATATTGAAACTATTCATTTAACAAAACGTTTACAGCTACACGTATAAATACTATGCATTTAAAGGAAGATGTCCTTTACTTAATGACACAGCCATACTTGGAGAAAAAGGAAAACTGCAAGTGCACCAGAGGAGTCGTACCTTGGGCCTTCCGATTAGTACTTCGGACGCTCTACCTGACAAGCTAAGCCGTTTAATAAGTCCACAATAACACACTTCCCACATACGTGATGCCTATGAGCATTGCTGATGTAAATAAGGATGGTAAATTTTATTCCCGATGCGATAGTTGCGATAGAAGATATCATAAAGCGAAGGACACATGTCTGTTCGGGGAAAAGAAACTCCGAGTACTCTTGATTGGAGTTGCACCTAGCCTTGTAATTTCATCGAAGAAAGGTGTTATTTGATGAATGACACAGGCAAACTCGGACGAAAGAAGAATCCGAGTGTTCCCAGTAGGACTCGACCAATTGACCTTTCTCGTCAGTTCTTGGGACCACTCGTAGCTATCTAGACCAGTTAAATAAGTCCTTGGTAAAAGACATCCTGCACAATGCGAGGATAGCAATGTCGAAATGTGATAATTGAGCGAAATGAAACGTAAATAAGGATTGTAAATTTCAAGCCTGATGATGTTATTCAGTGAGTGACACAGGAATACTCGTTAAGAGAAAGTTAAAAAAAAAAAACTCCAAGTGCTTCCGATAGGAGCCGTACTTACTTGTTATTAAATTTAAAGTCGTAATTTCCATTTCTTGTGTTTTAATTGGTTGACTCAACTCCAGTTAGAAGCTCATATTTCGAGTCACCCTCTATGGAAATCTGATTGGGCCAACTGTTGTAGTATTTAAATCGCTACTATCAAGAATTACTACAGAGGACATGTTTAATCAAGAACCAGTGGTATACTTACCAACCTTTGATGGTATTTTACAACATATGCGTGTCAAAGTTATCGTTGAAAATCTGTTGGTGTCGTTGGCTTATCAAATGCCTCCCAAGAAATTCTCTGCTAATAAATATAGCAGGAAGATTTCTCGTGTCAAATGCATTTGTCAAAGACTTGCTTAGGAGTTGATGCATTATTATTGGGGTGTATAACACATGCATTCGGATGTTTGTTTTCCGCAGAGAAAATTTCTAATGCTGGTCAATTAACGAAGGAGATTTTACATTTAAGAACACGTAGATGCCGGTTGGTATGTTTTTTTCAACAGACACCGAGACAAGGGGAAAGAGGGATCCAATAGTACTCCGCATCAGTATTAGAGCAAACATCTATGGTTAAGAAAAGGGAACATGACGATCATTTGGAGATAACACATCGCTGCTCTGCCCTCCGCCCACGCTCCTTTGAATCGTGATGAGTGGTGGTTTACTTCCTGACGCCTATTTACATCTCGTCAGAAAAAAAGGGCAGCTAATCAGTAAGCATATAAAAGGACCTCTTGTTGCAGCGATTAGATCACCTCTGATAAAGGCACTAGTCAGGAGTGTCGAAACATTGGGTTTATGAATTGTAACTCGGTTACATTCGAACATAAGAGATCCTCGCAGCTATAAACATTGCTGAACTAGTAGTTGAAATAAGACCTGAAAAAAATTCAGCCCCGGACGGAATTTAAACCATGACCTCTGCGATACCGGTGCAGCGCTCCACCAAATGAGCTAACAAGCCAACTGGGAGCTAGTCATTACGCTGGGTCCAAATAAACCATCTAAGTAATGAATAATGACTGTGGATATATGAAAATCATATATGTGCACTGCGGTGAAGAAATGAATATAGGAGATCCTCGCAGCTATAAACACTATCGAACTCCACTTCAAGAAACGGCTTCAACCGTGTTTAAAACGAACGTTAGTGCTAATGAAATATGCTTTTACTCATGATTGGATTAAAGAAAAGGGCCCTAACAGTCTCTGCAGCTGGTTGTTGTATCTGAAAATTTCCTGTAGCCAACCCTGTAGTTGGTGGTCACTCAAGTCCTTTTCAATATTGCGTTTTAGATGTGTCCAATAGGTACAGTTTGTAACGCTAGAGAATTAAGCTGTCAATCAATCAATGGATATATTAACAAGGAGAAAAATGAGGAAAAGGAACTCAGTTTAAAGAAACTCAAGGCGACAGTTGCTTCTGAAAATGTCTCGTGACAAGTCGTTCAGCTGATTGTTACTCAAGTTCTTGTTAAGAAATCATTACAACTGCGTTAAGTACGCACGGTTTTCAGAGCTAATGAATGTAAGGTACGCTTTTATAGAAGGGTTTCCAGCTGTAACAACCCACGCGTGAAAAATACGATAAATTTTCACGTGAGCGGCTTGATATCACCAATTAGCTGCTGACACGTCACTCACCTTTCGCACCACTCTGTCATGTTCAAGAACGAATGGCAATCTACGAAAACCAAAACGGTACATGGTTACTTGTAGATATAGAATTTCCCTTCTCGAGTTCAACTCGACTTATCACTCGACAGTGCATGCGCTCACTTGAGTGATATCGAGTTAAACATTCCAAGAGAAATTCCATCTCTACGTGCGCCCATGCATTATTCTTTATTTATTATTTAACATATCACTATCAGTCCTTACTACGATATCGTTGTCATCAAGTGAAATAGATCTTTAAAAACTGATTTACAAGTCGCCACCACTCGGTTAAGATGAAGAATGACATTCAATTGATCCGTGAGCTTCATCTCTGCAATTAACAAGTAACCTCGAAATTTGATCTCGCATGTGTACTTACAAAGCTGCTGTAGCGAGAGAAATTTTCCATGGAAATAACATCAACTCTGTCCTTTATAATTCATAAGCAGCAGATTAATGTGTTCTTTTCAAAAATTTACATTAACCATGGCCTGGGCACTTTGAGTTTTAGAAATAAAGAATCGATTAAATAATTTTATCGCTAAAGAAAGTGCAATGTGTTATCACAGGGTTTGCATTGCAAACGGAAAACCAAATTACTTTATAGCGTCGAGAAAAACTTGCTATAAGAAGAAAGCAGCTTTAGGATGATAGTTTACGAAAGTTCTAAGCATTTCAATTAAAACAACAACAAAAACAAATAAACAAACAAACAAAATTAAGCAAAAATTATTGGTTCTATTACAATAGCGCAAACAAAGCTCACTTTCAATGCTAAGGTTGATTTCTCTCCTTAATATATCTGTATTTCTTCGTACCTCACAGTAGTAATTCACATTTTTTTCTGCGGTTACAAGAAGCTGACATCTTACACTGGTACTGGTTTGAACAAGAACCCTGCTTTTCCCCCATACAATGTAGAGAGTTTTTCACCTTCCACTGGACACCAAAGGTCGGAGGATCTGTTCAAAATTATAATCTG